AGATCCAGCCCGAACTAATAAAGATTTCCAAAAAAACAAAAACACTGTGCATAACTACGGATCAGGGCTATTCTTTTGACACTTTAATCATCAAAATCGGTCCAAAAATGAGGGAGGAGTTATGTTTACAAAAATCAGCTTGGCGAGCGTATTATATATATATATAGATGGTAATATTGGATGGTAAATTTATTAAGAAAACAGTATGTTTTTGAATGAGAATTACCCATAATATCACGTTTCACAAAATAAGGTTGTCCAATTTTCTTTATAAAACTCAAAATGTTCAGGCATTAAAAAACTTCACCATTTTATCTAAGCCTATAAATAGTAATATAAAAGAACATTAAACTAAATTATTTGAACAGTTTAACCAAACCAAGCCACTTTGAAAAATAGCTGTTAAATATGGGTGTCTTCATTATTTATTACCATTTCGGGACTTAGTTTCCACAATTTAATTAAATTATTGTATTTCAGTCACCAACAATGGATGAGGTAATCGTTGAAACAGCTAAATCAATGAATAAATAACTCAAGTCAACCTGTTGATTTAAGATTTGTACAAATGGGTTTTCATACAAGAACGGTTTATCGCAAGAATAAATAGTTTAACCTTTACATGTATATATCACTGAAAAGAAAAACTTTTGTAACGTGCCTATTTTGAGGGGGGGTCAAACTAGCCTACTCCTAGGTCTAGCCTATCCCTAGGCATAGCCTACCAGCCCTAACTAAGGTTATAGGTTAGAAGGCTAACCTAGTTATAACATCTTCAGTAAAGTATAGGCATGATACACTGTCGTGTTTGGTATTAAATAAGTGTAGAACGAGAGTTATTAATACTGTATGAGCGTGGCATAATCCTTATACAGTGTTTTATAGCTTATTGACTCACCAGCTATGTGTTTCGCAAGCTAGGGCTCAACCCGGCTTGGTACTTCGAAGAAACTTTCTACACTTAGTAAACCCGCAGATCATGGCCTTAGGCCAATAATCCGTCTCAAAGACGTGAGGAAATGCGGAGTGAATAATATAAACCGACAACTTGAAGTTAAAACTCATTGTCGTGTGAAACAAACACAACATAACCTACAGTCAACAACAATAACGAGCTCGAGTGTGGGCGGCTGCAGACGACGGCGGCCGGCTAGCTTTTTTTCGGGTTAGCAAACAGCAAGCAAACGTTCCGGATCAGCTGAGCCCCCTACTTTGCTAGAGAGGGGAGCGAGAGGGATGAACCGAGGAACCCTCAGACAGCAAGCAGGAAAGTTAGTTCCTCACCAGCCACGGGATAGGAAAGTTCCTCACCAGCAACTACCACGACAAGTTCGAGTTAGTCCCGACATCGTGATTGGTGAAGCATTAGTTAACTCGCGTGATACTTCAAGTCAAATTGTAAGTCTTATATTTCAATAGATATAAGGTAAACCGAGTTAACTATTGCCAGGGTGTAAAATACTAGTTTTTAAAATCAGTTTTACTAGATTTTATATTTTCACTCCTGTTAAACCAATGGACTTAGGCTACTTTGACTTGATCATGATGGTGTGTTAAACCCATAACGTAACGAATAAATATTACGAGGTCAGTGTATTTTTAATCCATTTTTAGTAAGCCCAAAACGAATTAATCTCATCATATACGAATTGATTAGTAGTAGTCAGTGACTACTAAGATTAGTTGTGCTAGTTTAGCACGTCCCGATCGGCACGTATGGCGTGCGTTGGTAGTAGTGGCCATAGGCCTGTTTACGATGTTTTATGGTTTTAACAATGTGTTTGCCATAACGATGTTTGAGATTGTTGTAAACCAGAAGTGGATAGTTCGTTTCGGCCTTGTTTACTCGTTGTAATATTCGTTTTAAGTAACAAGGCATTTTTATATTTCTTTCTGACTGGTGAATTAATCTCTGATTATTTAACGATGTTTGGTTAGTGTCATGTGAGATAATCCGTGACTAACCCTTTGAGTATTATTTCATGTTTAACGATTTATATGTGTTTTAATATTTTGTGTTATGAGTTTACGACAGGTGATGAGATTGTTTTGGTGCGAATTGGATAACGTTGGCCTATGGTCTGGGACTGGCGAGTCGGCGTGGACTCAGCGTGTCTTCGGCAGCTGTGGTAGTGTGTTGAACCTACCTTTGGTGACGACCATGGTACTCACGACGCTTCAGCAGCTGTGGTAGCGTGTTAAGCCTACCTGGAGTGATGACCAACTCACGACGCTGGAACCTTCGACTCGTTAGCGGACGGAAGATCGACCTAAAGCAGTCAGCTAGCCTACTACGATTCTCGAACGGCTGGGGTTGTGTGATAAACCAACCAGAGGAACTCACATCACGCTGTTGGCCAGCTTCGGTGTTCTTCGATTGATTATCCAGCGGCAGTGGTTGCGTGATAAACCAACCATTGCAACGGAGAACAACGGTCAGTGAACAACGGGGGCTTGGTCAACGTGTACCCAACGAGTGTTGAACCGTTGTGGTGGATCTTGGCGTGGTGTAAACCCAAGGACTATCCGAATCGGGGGTGGCAAACGACAACTACGAACGGACGGCAACCACGGGACTCACTGCGGCGGACGGGGCAGTGACACGGGACCGTGTGATGAACCGGATCCCCGATGACTACATGCGAAGGGTGCAAGTAGCTCGCAAAGGGGGTGGCACTTAACAACGATGAACGGACGGCCACCACGGGACTCACTGCGGCGGACGGGGCAGTGGCACGGGACCGTGTGTTAAACCGGATCCCCGAGGACTACCTGCGGAAGGCGCAAGTAGCTCACATCGGGGGTGGCAAACGACAACTACGAACGGACGGCCACCACGGGACTCACTGCGGCGGACGGGGCAGTGACACGGGACCGTGTGATAAACCGGATCCCCGAGGACTACATGTGAATGGTGCAAGTAGCTCACATCGGGGGTGGCACTCAACAACGACGAACGGACGGCCACCACGCAGATCACTGCGGCGGACGGGGCAGTGATACATGTCCGTGTGAGGAACCGGACACTCAGGACGTCAGCGACGAAAACGTACGAGTAGGCTCCCCGGCTGTAGTACCGATATAGGGCGCGCGGGCTGGAAAACCCAGGCCGCGGTGAAGACCAGGTGAGGATGGCTGAGCCCCAGCCTACGACGACGAGTGGGGGGGTAGAACGCACCTCAGCCTGTAGCCGTGGTCGACGGGTGAGCTCGAACCCTATGCTACAGTGGCGGGTTGAGTCGGCTAAGCTCAAGGTACCGCGACGTCACGAGTCTGTGTGCAGAACCAGACAGACACCCAGGACGGCGGCGGAGACCGACGGGACCGAGGACCACCGGCTGTAGTCTCGATTGGGGCCACGATGGACGCCCAGCCTGCAGTGAAGGCGTAGTAGCTGCGACGTTAGGTGGGTGATCCGAACCCCGACTACAGCGGCAGGCGGAGCTCCCCAGGTACCACCACGACGCTGGGATCTGTGTGTTGAACCAGATTCTCCTGGGACTACAGGTATTAGGGGAAGTTGTCACTCTCTATTGAGTTCTTACCTTTCTAATAGAAAACAAAGAACTGTAATAACACTGGATAAGATCAAGTACTATTCGCCATGGGAAAACCTATCGGCAGGTGTGCCCCAAGGTTCAATCTTAGGTCCTCTATTCTTTCTAATTTACATTAATGACCTCCCTAAAGCTATTGATCAGGAACTAATTCTTTTTGCAGATGATACAACAGCCTTGATAAAAAATAATAGTACTTCTGAAATGCTATCTTCTCTTGAAAATGTGGTTCATGACATGGAAGGTTGGTTCTTGAACAATGGATTAAAACTTAATCTTGAAAAAACGCAAACAATAAAATTTTCTGTCAGAAACAATGGTAATAAAATTGAATCCCTTAAATTGGCAACGTCTCATAAATTTCTAGGTGTTTACATAGACGAATCACTTAAATGGGATGTACATCTGAATCAATTAAAAAGTAAACTTAGATCCATGTCAATTGTATTTCTGCACTTAAGGGACTGTGTTCCTAAAGAAACTCTGAAAATGGTTTATCATGCTTATGTAGAATCAGTATTGAGGTATGGTATAATCTTATGGGGTCAGGCTACCGGAGTCAAATCAATATTCAGGCTACAAAAACGCATTATCCGTATTATGACCAGCTCTCAACCACGTAGTTCATGCAAAAACCTTTTTCGAAATTTAAAAATCCACACCCTAACAGGACTGTACATCTTGGAATCACTAAACTACATTCATTCAGCTAAAAACGACCTCCCAGAATCAATTCAAATCAACCATAGATATAATACTCGAAATGAAAACATTTTTAGATTTCCAAGGCACCATTTGACCCTTTATGGAAAAAGTCCACTATATGCTGGGCTGAGGCTGTACAATGTGCTGCCTGCAAACTATAAATTGCTAAATGAAAATAATTTTAAAGAAAAAATAGGTGAACTCTTAATTGACAGAGCCTTTTATTTAATTGCAGATTTTCACAATGCCTCTTTAGTTTAGAATAGTTTTATCATTCAATTTTGTTAATTATATTATCATCTTGATTACTATTTTATTTTTTATATTCTGACAATTCAAACTCTGACAATGCACCTATTCTGTATGTAACACATGTAAAGAATGTTATGTGCAAATAAAATATGTCTATGTCTATGTCTACATGTGGACATGTAGACGATTCGGGGATGACGACTAACGACAATGGAAGGTCATCACGTCTCACTGCGGTGGAAGGGGCAGTGACAGGGGTCCGTGCGGTGAGCCGGATTCCCATACGACGACGACAACGACAGGGGTCCGTGCGATGAGCCGGATCCCCACGATACGACAACATCGACGAAGTGTCCCTGCAACGAGCGGGACACTCATGCGACGACGAGCAACGGGCAGGGGACCAATGCCCCACGTAGTACGTCACATTTATGGCGCCCGAACGAACGACGGCAACGAGAGGTATTCCTGCATCGAGCAGGATACCTATCCGACGACGGCGATGACAGGGATCCGTGCGATGAGCCGGATTCCCAGACGACAGCACCGACAGGGGTTTGTTTGAGAAACCAGATGCCCAGACGACAGCGGCGACGGATGGGAAGTATGACTCGACTCTGCAGTAGCATCGACGGTGGTCACAACAGACCCAGCCTGCAACGACGGCCAGGTGAGGCCGGATGAGCCCCAGCCTACTACGACGAGTGGGGGGGGGGCGGAATGAGCCTCAGCCTGCGGCTGTGACGACAGGAGGGCAACGGTGGACCCCAGGCTACAACGGCAGACGGAGTCAACCCATACTTGGTGTGCAGAACCCAAGTGCCTGGCTGGATGTCGTGTGCTGAACACGAAGTCAATTTCGGGGGTGGCGACTAGCTTCCATGGAAGGCCACCACGTCTCACTGCGGTGGAAGGGGCAGTGACCGGTCCGTGAGGATTAATCCGGACTACGGCGACATCTGTGTGATGAACCAGATGCTCGAGATCTCCGACGCGGTAAACCTCAGCCAAGGCGACGGCACGGCTGAGCGTGAAAGTAACATCTTGACGCGAACCCTGGAAGGCCAACCCAAATCTCCGTACTGAGGCCTATCCGGAAACTAAATGTGCTGTATAGCACGTGGTACTTAAACCTGGCATGTAAACTAGTGTTATATGTTTCAGTGTGGAAAAGTACGTCACACTTTTAAAACGTTATATTTCAACAACACTGGATTATAGGCAACTAGCTGTTGTACCCGTGCTTTGCAACGGAAGAGGACACAAAATAGAAACATTTTAATCTTTATCTCTTGCATATAATAGTTACACATCCGCCAACGCTTTTAGAAACAAAATTCAACTTTTATGTTCTTAATAGAAACGTTTAAGTTATGACTTTTAAATCTGGTAAGTAGTGGATACCACCATTTTGGTTTTGATTATTTCAAATCTTGTGTAGGCTGATATGAGAAAAACTGACCAAATTTTTGAGTAAAACTTTGACATAGGTACATGATTTACTAAATTTACCTTCATCTCACTTAATTACACATCTTTTAATTTATTATTGACATTTTAAATTTCAATTTTGATGTTGCAAAAATACTAATTATTAAATTTAAATATCTTTAAATTAAACTCTTCTTTATATTAAATCACGAATCCTTTCCTCTTCAGTTTTTTCACTCACAATAAATCATTAGCAAAACTAAGTCAGCTGTTAATTAGGTACTTGGTTTTGAGTTTGGAAACCTAAACTATTGCAATCCAGCTGTCCGTTTCCGAGAGATAGAAGTATGTAACAAAATATGTTCCATTAACTGAATAACAAGAGTTGCCAGCATATTTCCTACCCAGTCAAAAGAATTAGAGAAAACATTAAATGGAGAACATTCCTTTATTTTTTGTGGCAGTTAAAAATATGATTTTAGTATTTTAAAATTCAGCCGCCATTTTCCAAAATGGTGGCCAACTTTGAAATTTCTTGTAAAACACCCTATATTTTATCATGTTTTCGGATAGAATATGCAATTTAAAAATTTTTTTATACTAGACATTTTTCGATAAACACACTCGTTTAGGAGTTACAGCCTATGGAAAAATGACTTCCGGTGTACATTTTACATCATGTAGCGCCTAAACAAGTAGGTTTATAGAGAAAATGTAAAGAGTAAAAATGTCTTAAAATTGCATCCACATTCCAAAAAAAAACATAATTTTTTTTTTTAATATTCATTACCTATATTATTTCAATATTGGCGGTCATTTTCTAAAAGGAAGGCAAACTTGAAAAGTGGAAAACTGTTTATTTTATAGTCTTTATGGAATGTAGATGCAATTCTATGACTAATTTACTTCTTGCAATTTTGCTCTAAACTTACTCGTTTAGGAGCTACATGATGTAAAATGTACACCGGAAGTCATTTTTCCATAGGCTGTAACTCCTAAACGAGTGGGTTTATCGAAAAAGTGCCAAAGAAAAAAAAAATTCAAATTGCATATTCTATCCGAAAGCGATGATAAAATATGGGTGTTCCAGAATAAATTTCTAAGTTGGCCGCCATTTTGGAAAATGGCGGCTGAATTTCAAAAAACTAAAATCATATTTTTAACTGCCAAAAAAATAAAGGAATGTCCCCCATTTAAAGTTTTCTCTAATACTTACAGTTTCCGATTACCCAATGGTGGGGGGCCTCCTTGAGTTGATCACCCTGTATATATGAATTTAAACGGATGGTGTTTTTGGCCTCTAGGGACCTCAAAACGAAAAATTAAATCGGTCCCGGGTCCAGGTCTTACCATGAGTACTACGGTAATAGCTTATTCGCTATATGCGAAATTCGCTAAAAACCTAATAGTTCTATAGAATAACTAGCTGTACCCGCGGGCTTTGCCCCGTTTAGCTTATTAATTTTCAAGATGAGCTCGTTCGCATGGCTCAATCACGTCCTGGTTGAAGTTCGTTCGCTACGCTCACTCACCTTTAGGTTGGAACTCGTTCGCTGCGCTCACTTGCCTTGGGGTTAGCTCGTTCGCTACGCTCACTCACCTTTTGGTTGGAAATTAGCTGTTGTCATAAATTGTTTAATTGGCGCAGCTGTGAAGATTCATTAATTCCTTTTAAATATGAAAAATCATAAGGTTAACGTGGGAAACCCCAGAGCCACTGGGGCGGAGCCCGAATGCCCGAACATAAAAAAATTACTTAGTTTTCCTATTTAATGCCCAAAGGATCGGTGTATCGAATTTCAGCCTCCTAGGTAAATGGGAAGTGGGATAATTAGTGATGATAAGTGAGTGAGAGCACAGAAAACATACTACTATAACCTATAACTATAACTATACTATAAGGTTATAGTAATATGTTTTCTGTGGTGAGAGTGAGTGTGTCAGTGAGTCAGTGAGGGCTTTGCCTTTTATAAGTATACATAGTACATTCAACCAGCTGTTTAGTTAAAACAAATTATATTGGACTAAAACAAATCGATGATTACAAAGAATGCTTTAAAAAATAATTTGAACATTCTACTACTGTATTTTACTATGCATATTTAATTAATCTGCCATCCTCGTACCGAAGAATTGAATGTATCAATGGTCAGCATTACACATAGTATAAATAAGTCAACCATTAGTATGTATTTGAATTTTTTTCCAAATGCTGAATTTGTGTCACAAATGCTGAATGTTACAGTTGTTATGTTAAGCAAATTATATTGTACTAAAAGCTAGCTAGAAGCATTGACTATTGGAGAAGGTTAGCATCGGCTATAGACTTTTTAAAAACTAAAACTTAATTTCTAAAAAACTGGGACCCTAATTTAAAATTATGGCTTTGACATTCCCTAGTTCTCAAAATTATCTTTCTTTGAACACAAAAATAGTGAAAATCCGTCGACTGGTTGATTCAGAATCGTGAAAAAACCCCATTTACGTTTTAATAATATATATGATAGTTTGGACAGGTTTCAACCCTTCCGAGGATAGATTTACACAGTTTATGTATAGACTACATTATAACTCATAAAATAGTTCTAAAATTAAATGGATCTCCTTTTACAAACGTATATAATAACCAGAAATTTTCAGATCGTCCTTGCATGTATTTCATGCCACAAATTTTGACGAAAGGCTTTTCATTACATAAACTATACCTATTTACAGTGTTGACCAAACAGTTGGCAAGAAGCATTAATAGATAAGCTATGTACCAAATATGATAATTTTAGCTCTATTCTAATTATGACAAAACACGAAGTAACTAAAAGCGAGTTTTGTTTGTGTAGTAAGCGTTGCAGGAGGTCTACTTTACACTGAATCGACGTTCACTTTTATTGCTTTTGATCTTCCGGCACTGTTGACTCAGCGAAACTGAACTTGTATTTTACCGTATTTCGTTATATTAAAACTGCTGTTGCATTAGGTCAAATTCCCAATAAGTCAATTGCTTTAACATAGACCACGTTTTTAGCTCGGACTGTATTATTTGACTTACTGGGACTTTTGATCTACAGACACTGCAAACATTGTAGTTTTTGACCTAGCGGCACAGGTATAAATTATTTGATCTTCCGGGACTGTTGACTTCCAGCAACATTCCCTTTGTTCTTTATATCGATGAGCGTAAATTGCTCATAATCTACGAGTAAATATAAATTGATAATGTCAGGCATCTTTAAACTTGCCAAATTCTTAAGATGAATTCCTATACAAAACCATTTAAAAACCACTCTTTAAGCTTATCTAAAACCTTTTAAGCGAACTTAGCTGAAATTAGTCAACTTACTCTTTGTTGATCTTATAATTTGTAGGTTTGATTCTATCCTCTTATTCTATAGGTGTGGACCAATTGCAAGTTTCAGTATAAATCTTTACAAAGTTTTTATTTCTTTACACCAAAACATATCTTTAGTTGTAAAATCAATAGTATAAAATAAGTACAGTACCATGCTGCTGGACGAAAAAATTATAGAATAGACACGCAATTAACTGATATTTCCGGCAATTTTTTTCCTAGGAAGCTAGGCACGAGCCCGGTATTGCTTTTCACATTACTACAGGCTAGACCTAGGGGTTGCGGCTTCATCACTTGATAAAATCCATTGCTGATTTGGCGTGATTTGAACCTAGGACCTCAGGGACCGAAGTCCCCCGCTCTAACCACTACACCAGCTCGCTCCCCATATTATATTTCCAGTAATAGGCCTAGAGACTCTTCTAATTTATGATTTAAAATTTAAAAAATGTTGTCCAAAAAGTCATATTTGTCATATGTTTGTGTACGTATAGGTCACAGACGAATCAAAAGATTTTTGCTGCTTCGCACACCCCTATTAATATGCTTTCTCCGCTCAATCTTACAAGCAGAGAACTGCACTATACACCTAGTAATAACAAGGGTAGTATACTTACTCTGGCTCTCTCAGCAGATTCTACAGGATCATCCCAGCCCATCAGGATTGGTTGTGACTCTGGGTCTAATATTGGGTTTGCTGCTGCAACAAAAAGAACGATAATTCTAAACCACAGAGTTCTCAGGACAGAGAATCAAGATACAGAGGATACAAGCTTATGTGAGGCTTATATGAGGCTCTGGTATTGTGGGGTGGAAATGTACTCGTACCGAGCAAGGAAGTGCCTGCCAAACTACGATGGCCTCATAGCATTTTTCAACAGCAGTTGTAGTGCACAGGATCTTCCTACAGCGTAAGCGCTGTGGTAAGTGATGGCGAGGGGGGAAATGAGAGTAGAACAGGATGAATAGAATTTTGCTCTTGACACCAGCAACTGGTGATAGTCAACACTTAAGTGTACTTCTCTGTGTTTCTTAGTCTTGTTCACACACTTGTGTCTCACTTTAGGTACTGTATTTATCTCACCTAATCAAAAGGTAGCCGGATCGATCCTGAGAAAACGAGAAAAGACAATATCTTTTTGGAGCTTCAGAACTGGACCCAGCTGTCCCTGATCATCAGGCTTTCAATAAATGATCCTGGCTAATGAAACAGCTAATTATAGTCAGTAATATTAATATATCATTCCATTCTACACTCTCCCTTCACTAATATTATTTGAGTTGAAATTCGCACCTAGGTTGCGTCCCCATCTCATGATAATAACATGAGCAGAAATGTATTTAATTTTTAATTTTGTGTTTTGCTTATTTGTCAGTTCTTTTATTGCAGCTATGTTATTATGTTTGTTACTTTGTGTTGTATTCTGGGCTTCTAACGGTCTGAAAAAGCTTGTTATACTCGGGAATAATTGATTTAACGAGTCCAACCCTAGTATAACATCTACAGTTAGACCTTTAATAACGCTAGTTACACACTGTATTGACCTGCCAAAATATGTAATGTTTATGCGATAAGATTAACACGATTTCGTTACAGTACCGTCTGCTAACCTGACGGACCCTCCCCCCGGCAAGAATTGAGGGTCTTGTGGGTCCAGGACCTGTCCAATATATTTACCAATATAAATGTTGCTTGACCCCATATCGATAAGTGCGCTGCACTTTATACCTTGGAGCACAGAAAACATACTACTATAACCCAGAATGCCAACCGCATGGTAAAAACCATTAAGTGTTTTGAGAGAGCTTTGCCTGTCAATCCGTAGGCAGCGCCACCAGCGTTGCCATGCACTCAGCATAGCAACGCTGGTGGCGCTGCCTACGAATTGACAGGCAAAGCTCTCTAAAAACACTTAATGCTTTTTACCATGCGGTTGGCATTCTGGGTTATAGTAGTATGTTTTCTGTGCTTGGAGTTGGATACTTATAGACATACGATATTATCGGATGACTGTGCGTGTAATACAGGGCGAGAAGACGAGGTTAAATCAGACGCAGTATCACTGACGACAGCGCTATCCTTGGCGAGATTCATGGGATACTGCCTAGGCAACTCACCGCTGTCTAGGCGTTTGTCGCGTTTCTGACGCACATCTTTCACAGGTTTGGACGGTTTTTCCTCTATTGCCACACCTATAAAAAAAGATGGACTGTGGCGCACGGCACTCCGAATAACGATGACCAGGTCTCCGACAGTTCCAACACATTTCTGTGGGTTGGTGTGGAGGTGATGAAGGCGTCTGTGATGTTTCAGCTACAGATGGTTGTCGGCGGTCCTGCGGCGGTAGCGGACGATGTTGGGTGTGGGTGCGAGGGAGGTAGGCGGTATCAGCTGACCGGGATTGAGAGGGGGACGAAAGGATTTTGCCTCGCGACAGTTAAATTCATACTCCGTTCCCAAGGACAACAGTTCATGTAGCGATGTAAAATCTCAACGTCTTATGTAAGTTTTATATTCGAGTTTGAGATTCCTATAAATTACATCGATTTGTTTTTGAGGTGGAAATCCCCCGTGTCGTCACATTTCATTCTTATCGCAATCACAAAGTCTGATAACGACTCATCGCTGCCTTGTGTTCTGCGCCTAATGTCATCTTCTAAATTCAATAAGTAATCAGGAGGAAGAAATGTTCTGCGTAAATCGGCAACAAAATCGTCCCATGATGTCTAGTCCTGATTGTTGTTACGATACCACAGTAACGCCTTTCCCTTTAACACCTCTGGGAGAGCAACTAACAAATCATTCTCTGAATCCGTAGGCGGTTCGAAGTTCAGATAAATGCTCAATAAATCCAATTACACTCTCAGAACTATCGAATTTCAAGGCCCACTTTCAGATAATTCAAATAATTTACCAGTTGTGTGAAATTATCTTGTCAATAAATGTTTCAAACATGTTTATTCCTAAAAACTCTTATCCTACTTTTAAAACCACTTTTATCATGGCTATTCAAAATATCTCAGAGTAAAATAGGTAAAGCCTTTATCTTAACTGTGATTTTTCTTGACACAATCCTCGTAGTAGTAAAAGGTTTTGTTTTAATAATGTGTGGTACAGTAATTGTTGTTAGAAAACCGTGAATGTAGGATACTATCCATTTTCATAGTAATGTCAATGTATTAAAGTTAAAAATAATGGTTTAAATACAGTTCTGAGCAGAAAACTGCAAAAATATGGATAGCTGCGTACCGTACCGATTTTGTACTGAGAACCAAGTTACAAAATATTGTACCGTACCGAACCATACCGACCTTAAATTTTCTGTACCGCAGACCCCTAGTTTATACACCCAGTTCAACGAATGTGTAGGGCTAGTAGGGTTGTCTTCTGTGGTAGACATGTTTATTGATTGTGGTACGATATAATATGACGGGAATGTCCAACACCAAAATCAGATCACAAAAAAAAAAAAAAAAAAAAAAAAAAACCCACAGTAGGGATGTCACTGAAAATGTTTATTTACCACACCATATTGCAATTTTTGTTCGGGCGCCAACTTTGTAGTAAACGTTATTAATTTGTCAAATATTCCCACAATACAAAGTAAATTATATTTGCCTCAGATAAACCCACAGAGGGGGTTCGACCCTTATAGTAACACTCAAATTTGCCTGGTATCAAGGAGATATCTCGGAAGGTGAAAACATTACCCACATCTAGTAATTAATCAATATTTATTACATGAACTTTACAACTGCGGCAATACATACAAAGAAAGGTGTTTTTTAACGATACTTAATCACAACGGTTTACAGTTTGTCGAAACGTACTCCTTTCTCGCCCCAAATCTACACATACGCACTCCACACCTCATGGGCGAATCGTAGCACTTTGGTACATGTAATACGATATCTCAAGTTAACAGATACGTAATGAATTTACGAATGAATTTATGAACGTAATGAACATTTACAGAATGAACTATAAGCTTGATTTCTTGGGTAATGACACAGATGCCCCTCCCGACATTCTATAAAATCATATTTACAAATTTCGTTGCACGAGACAAGTGCCCCTTAAGACTTGATAAGTGAGTAGATATATTATCGACGTGCGAGACATGTGCCCCACGCGGATTAACATGTAAAAAGAACACTCAACAGACCACCGCACTTCAAAACAAAATACAGAGGATCATTAGCTTGAATACGCCTATTAAGATGGTTTTGTTAAGACAGTTATTCAAAAACGTACGGTGATATCGCCATGCGAGATATGTACCCCACACGGAATATTACGCGTAACGTAACACTTTATCTACACTCTTCGTAGGACTTTAAAATACAAAAATAAGATCACGATTCAAAAGGGAATTTTAAATTGGAGAATAAACGATATAATAATACTCTCTGTAAATGTGTTGCCATGCAAGATAAGTACCCTACACGGAACCCAACATACAACTTAACAGATTTCACACTTCGTGAGTTATTAGAATACCACTAATATAGAATCGCTATTCTACAGGGAACTTCAAATTGAGGAATACATGATAGGACTACAATAACACTCTCTGAAAATAAAATCATACTTTATCCTCCTTTAACCTACAGGACAACAAAACTGAACACTCTGAAATAAAACTCTAATCACTTTTCGCTTCTTATAAAAAACTCCTCCAAAATTATTTATTATTTGAAATTTAGCGGGCCTTATATAATCCAACCGATGAGACATATGCCTCCGCTCGATTAAATGGTGCAAAATTTTGAAAGGGATTTAGAGTCTCGAGGTGAGAGACATTTGCCTCTAACCGAGAGTTAACTACTAAATTGTTGATAATTTTGAAAAAAACCAAGATAGATACAAATCACACAAATTAATAGATTCTGAATCTTTTGGATAGATTCTTAACCAATTGGAAGGGTGTCCAGCCAGATAGTCATCTCAGCTGCCCTGTCACACATGTACACTTGGTAACTTAACACTAATTTACTTATCCACTTGGCGGTACGATACTGACTGCCTTGGTCACTTCTTCGAGCAGTCCGTGTCCCTCCGACTTGTGGTGGGGGAGAGGGAGGGTAGCGATATCACGGTGACGCTTGCTTGACTCCACGACCGTCCTAAGATTTACTTATCTGGTGGGAAATTTGAAACTCACTGTCACAACCTCATGGATTTTATTGAATAATTGCTGCGACAGAGGTATTTTGTTTGATACATAAAATATAAAAAGTAAATAGTAAAATTGTATACTTGGAGTTTTGGTTTACCAGGTGTGCTGTATGAGGAAGTTGCTGGTTGATTCTCGTAGTTAGTGAGGTGCTTATAGTTGAGGTGGGGTCGTTTCTCTTCTGAAGATGTGTTTGGAGTATTACTCAGCCTTTGATGGAGTTGATGAAGCATTCTAAATAGTAAAATACAAAATAATAAACATCCATTTGATCAAAGAATCAGTTTTAAAAGTATAGTGTATATATATATCCTAGTATCATATCATCCATAGTATACAATTCTTTTAGTACAGCAAAGTCAAACCTATTTATGTCATCTTGGTTTTAAAATGACCTGGTTTAAAACACTCTTGTAGTGTGGAGGTTTTAAGATCCCACTAGTGTCCCTGTTGCTCGAATTTGAGCAATTGCTAAGTATTACAGGCGTTATTTTAAAATGAATAACAGTCATTATTTCTGATGACTTTAAAAGATTCGACTCAAAGATTATGGAAATACTCAAGATGCACATAACAGGTTATATCAATTTATCCAGGCTCTCTCGCTTTTTCCATTGTAATTATTTACGCCAACCCAAATTCAAATAGTAAATATTACATTTCAACCAAGTCAGTAAATGTTTGTAGCAAACTGTTAAATTAGCAAACTTATTGACTGTTTACAATTAACATATAATCTCCTTCTCACTTTTAATTTCTGACAACAGCTGGAACAATTCATAACAATTTTTTTGTTTCCCATGTCAATCTTATGGAGAAATACAAAACTTTAAAGGGCCCCAGGGCCTCACCCTCTAATTATTTCCCTAAAAAGAAAGTTTCCTGCACAACTTCATGTCACGCTCTTTCCAATTACGCCAAAAACATGCCAATCGGTTCAGTAGTTTTGGAGGAGTAATTGTCACAAAAAACCTGCTTACGTATTAAATAAGTACTAGAGTCCCTGTTGCTCGAAATCGAGCAATTGCTAAGTATTACAGGCTTTATTTTAAAACGAATAAAAGTAATAATTTCTGATGACATTAAAAGATACGACTCTAAGATTATGGGAATACTCAAGATGTGCATTACATAGATATAATCAACATTTCTTGTAAATATCTTATCATTTTTGAAAATCTGATCTTGTTTTTTAGTGTTTTCTACAAATAGCCTTACTCATAGCCGCATAAGGTTGTCCATAATTACAATTATAAATATTAAAAAAAAACATTATTTCTATTTCTTCTCCTTGGTGGTGTTCTATGACTTTTCTATGTTTCCATAGTTTGCAAATAGGTTCTTTTAATGATTACTAAGAAATGTAGCACAGTGTGAATTCAGTTTTATTTTTAGTATATCAATTTATCCAGGCTGTCTCGCTTTTTTCCATTGTAATATTTACACCAAACCGAATTCCAATAGTAAATATTTTATTTCAACCAAGTCAGTAAATGTTTGTAGCAAACTGTTAAATTAGCAAACTACTACTGTTTACAATTAACATATGTTCTTCTTCTCACTTTTAATTTCTGGCAACAGCTGAAGTTTCATAACAATTTTTGTTTCCCATGTTAATCTTATGGAGAAATACAAAACTTTAAAGGGCCCCAAGGCCTCACTGTCTAATTATTTCCCCAAAAAGAAAGTTTCCTGCACAATTTCACGTTACGCTCTTTCCAATGACACCAAAAACATGTCAATCGGTTCAGTAGTTTTGGAGGAGTAATTGTCACAAAAAACCTGTTTGCGTATTAAATAAGTAATATAGATAGATTAACATGACATCTATATAAAGTCACAATATCCCTTATTCCGAATTTAGTTTGTATTAGAGCTATGTTGGATTTGACATTTAATTCTTTATATTTGCTATTTCTGTGATTTAGTAAATATTGTTTGAGAACAATGATGGTGTCCTTACACTAACAACTCACATTCAAGATAAAAAGGATAGTACAAAAAGAACAATTGTGAATTCTGTTAGGACTGATAGAGATGCCTATTCGCAATTGATATTATTTCAACAAAAGATTGTTGGAGTTTTCCATCTAGCTTTATCCATAGTTTAATACGTTATTATTGGATTAAAAAGTCAAACTGACTTAGTTACAGTTGAAATAGTTTAAATATAAAAAAAATGTTAAAATCCAAAAATCTTTGGATGAAGACATAGCAAACCTGGGGTTGTCTCTAGGGTCAATGGTAAGTTATTCTGTGATTTCTACAAACAATCTGACTATCTCAATGTAAAGTCTTTGATAAGACAGTTTTACAAATAAAAGATTTAACTCAAGGCACATGTTAATTAACTTTCAAACAATAGCCAATAAAACGGCCGTATCTTGTGTTACTCCTAAGAACTATTATGCTTGACAACAGTAGATCAACCTTTAGAGACAAGCCTCTAAGGACTAGTATAATAGGGCCTAATCTCACAGTTGTCATTAATTAATCCTCAAACAACATTAACTGACCAAACTAAAGACTGATTTAATAATCACAATTATAATCCCAAAAAATTCCGCTAACCTCTTAAAAAAAACCTTACTAAATTGAAATTACACTAACGGTTATAAAATTTATTTAGACTTATATATATATATACCCAAGTCTAAATAAATGTTTACATAGATATTAGGGATGGACGAGATTGGATTTTTAGTTCGAGACGAGACGAGACGAGATTTTTTATTTCTCATAAAATTTCGAGACAAGATCGAGACGGGATTTCCCTTCTCATACACAACGGGAAATGCACGTTCAAAATTTTTACCTGATTTTGTAACATTGTTAGATGACTGTTTAAATACAAAAATAATAATAATAGGTAAGAATATTTACAATCTTTTATTAAAAAAACATCAGCATAACATTTTTTTATTAATCATGCCTTACTTATTAAAAATGCCTACGATTAGGAAACATAGTGATATCAGTTAGGATAGAGTTCAACTTATCCTAAAATAAAATAAATCATAAAATAAAAGCAATATTAATTTTTGTAAAATAGTTACTTGTTTTGACTTTTTATAGTAATAAAACATTCCTCACACTGCTTACACTTAACAAAACTTCTCAAATGTTATTAAAGTAATATTATTAAAATAATTAAAGTAATATTTTCATTTAAAGAATTAATTAAATAAGAACGCCTTCGCAAAGGAAACGCAACTACAACACGCTCTTGTATTGCGGGTATTGCATTGACTTTCTGCAGGCGTTTTTAATTTTTTTATTTAATTTTTTTTTTTTTTTCTTGTCTCGATAAAAATCTCGGCCAAAAAGAAATCTCGTCTCGTGTAACGAGATTTAAAATTTCCCGAAAATTTCCCGAAATTTCGAGACTTGACCATCCCTAATAGATATATAAGATTTACCGTCTTGAAGCAATCCAGTATTGTACTTAGTGTACAGCTGTTTCGGCTTTATAAAGCCATCTTCAGCACTTCTTCATAGAGGGTTTTTCATCCTACTATCCTACTAATATTATAAATGAGAAAGTTTGGATGTATGGATGTATGGATGTATGTTTGTGACAAGTGAGCGCGAAAAATACTGGTCGGATTGGGCTGAAATTTGGCATGATGATAGCTCACATTCCCGATTAACATATAGGCATATTATTATTTCAAAAATCCTTTCGGGCTCCACCCCAGTGGCTCTGGAGTTTCCCATGTTAACCTTATGAGAAATGGAATTATTGAATCTTAACAGCTGTTTCAATTAAACAAGTTGGTTCTGTTCTATGATGTTCAATAGCATTAAAGTTACAAGGATTTGCCAACAGGGTGCAGCACTATTATTTCTTTTACATTTATGACAACAGCTAATTTGCAACCAAAAGGTGAGTGAGCGTAGCGAACGAACTTCAACCTGGAGGCGAGTTAGCGTAGCGAACGAGCTAACCTGAAGGCAAGTGAGCGCAGCGAACGAGCTCCAACCTAAAGGTGAGTGAGCGTAGCGAACAAACTTCAACCAGGACGTGATTGAGCCATGCGAACGAGATAATCTTGAAAATTAAGAAGTTAAACGAGGCAAAGCCCGCGGGTTACAGCTAGTAATATTATAAATGAGAAAGTTTGGATGTATGGATGTATGGATGTATGGATGTATGTTTGTGACAAGTGAACGCGAAAAATACTGGTCGGATTGGGCTGAAATTTGGCATGATGATAGCTCACATTCCCGATTAACATATAGGCATATTCTTATTTCAAAAATCCTTTCGGGCTCCGCTCCAGTTGCTCTGGAGTTTCCCATGTTAACCTTATGAGAAATGGAATTATTGAATCTTAACAGCTGTTTCAATTAAACAAGTTGTTTCTGTTCTATGATGTTCAATAGCATTAAAGTTACAAGGATTACCAACAGGGTGCAGCACTATTATTTCTTTTACATTTATGACAACAGCTAATTTGCAACGAAAAGGTGAGTGAGCGTAGCGAACGAACTTCAACCTGGAGGCGAGTTAGCGTAGCGAACGAGGTAACCTGAAGGCAAGTGAGCGCAGCGAACGAGCTCCAACCTAAAGGTGAGTGAGCGTAGCGAACGAGCTCCAACCTAAAGGTGAGTGAGCGTAGCGAACAAACTTCAACCAGGACGTGATTGAGCCATGCGAACGAGATAATCTTGAAAATTAAGAAGTTAAACGGGGCAAAGCCCGCGGGTTACAGCTAGTAATAAATATGCGAACATCCTTGTTCTTGTCAACTTGTTACAATACATTTTAAACACAAATAAAAATACGAAAGACAAAACAAAACTTTGGTAGGCCCACTTGTATGTCACGACATATCAAATTAAATCAAATCTTTATTGTTATTCATCATTAAATAAACATGAGTTACAATAGAGTTTGTCAAAATAAAATGTAAATACCTTAAAGACAACTCAAAACATGACTAGGCCTACAGCATGAAAGACAATTTGTGACATAACCTCACTTTGACATGTGCTCAACTGACAGATAACAGACGACAGGCAATCTCGATGTTTTTGTTCTTGTTGCAGGAGCATCGATGCCTTTAAGATCATATTTTGTCTTTGTCCGTTCTGACTATTTTATATATATACATATATTATATATTACATATTATATACATTATATATTACATTGGCTGTAAAATTAGACTGGACATTGATTAGGTTTTGATTGTCACCAAACTAAAACAAAATCCTCAACAAACCATGTCAATACTAACAAAAACTTAACAAATTCTAATGAAAACCAACCACAGAACCGCCAAATAAATTAGTGCACAACAAGGCTGCATATAATATAAGCCTGCTTTCAAGCAAATAAGATAAACAAAAATATACTAAATTGCCTGTCATCTAATATCTGTCAGTTGAGCACATGTCAAAGTGAGGTTATGTCGCGACATACAAGTAGGCCTACCGAAGTTTATGTTTATTTGTTTATTTATTATTTGTGTTTAAAATTTATTGTAACAAGTTGACAAGAACAAGGATGTTCGCATATTTATTATGAAATTACCTATATGAAGAAGTAAGTGCTGACGATGGCAAGTAAATCCTGGTCAGCCAACCAAAAAAGTACATTTATTTAGGTTATGATTTGAAGATTAATCTCTAATTGTAATAATGACAAATGTTCATAATAAAATAATAGCCCTCAAACTATTTATTTAGTATATTTATATTGGAACAAGAGTTCTCACACAATACTATTCGAAGTATCGTGCATGCTTGTTAGAAAAAGAAGGAATTAGTTTTTAACACTGGCACAGTTATGAACATAGTATCAGTATGCTACTTACTTGCAAACCATTTCATTTCTGGTTTCCTCTTCTTGGGTTTTTGTATCTATATTCTGAAACACACAAAAATGAGTAAAAACGTAATGTTTTAAAGATAGGTAGACCAAATGAAAATTACACATGACTGACTCAAGGTGAAGTATGCACATTGAAAAAACAGAAAATTAACATGGTGACAACCTTGGACAATCTTGGTTCTCAAACAAATTCACCAGTATTTAATACAGTACATTGATAGGTTTTAAGCAGGGATGTGTAGATTCTCAATACCGATACTTGACGTGGGGGGATTGTAAAATTACCGTACTCGACGGTGATGACGATAATGTTACCATGACTGCGGCTACGACCGCAAGAGACGATCATAATTTTGCTATGGTCACAGTGGACGATGATATTTCCATTACCGCAGGGGATATTAACAATTTAGCCATAACCATGGGGGATGATGGTAAAGTTCAGACAACCAAAGGAAATGATGACCATTTTCTGTGAACAGGGGAGGATATGATGATGTTTCACTTACCTTGAGGGACATTCATGGTTTGCTGTAACCGCCTGAGACGACGATGATGTTTCTTTTACAGCGGGGGACATTAAGGATTTTGCTGTGAACGAGAGATATGATGATGATATCTATACTAATGTGGGTAATGATTAAAAGTTTACCGCGATCAAGCAAGACGATGATTATTTCCATAAGGGCGAGGGAGATGATCGGAATTTCACCGCAATCGCAGGAGACAATGATGATGTCTACATGACTGCAGGAGATGTTCATGATTTTGCCGCGTTCATAATTGTGGAAGACGATGAAAAAGTTTCTGTTATTGCGGGAGACGATGATGATGTCCAAGAAAGTTAGTCTAAACATCTGCAGAAGATTAAAAGGGTTTGGCTGCCTCGCAGGAGACTATCGCTCGCGTCACAGCTGAGCCGCTATCAACCGGTTCAATCCGCTTTAGTCGCGAACACTGGAGGGAGTAGGGAAGGGGTAGAAGGAGGTCAGTCGTTGCCTGGAGTCCCTGGAGTGTTCACATCGTCGAGGAACGGGAATGAGATCGATAAGTTATAGTGTTAAGTTTAATTATTAGATTTATATCAATCATGTTCTAATTCTTTTCAGTACGGGGGAGGGGGGACTAAGGGGTTAGGGATTCTATCATTAATTAAATATTTATATTATGTAAAACTGAGTTAACAGTACCTTTCGGGCCCATAAGGCGCGAAGGGAGATTTTTTAGCTTAATCGTATTTATTAGTATAATTGGTTGAATGCATTACTAAATTTAGATCATCAAAATGGCTGTGATATAGATGTGGCTTGGCTCAGTTATTTAGTTAAGTTAAATAAAATATTCTGGCTTAGAATGGTAGAACGCACAGGAAATCTCTGAATTTAATTGAGCCTCAAATCGATCCTATGAGCCCAGTACCGCTACATATGTCGTCAGAAGAATAAACCACATAGGCGGACTCTCTTTGGCCAAAACAGCTTACTTCACACTGGTAGAGTCACACCTTAGATATGGCTTGACAGTGTGGGGAGGAACTTCAACAAAAAATATGAATCGAATCCTTGTTCTTCAAGGTGTACTAACTCGTAAATTTACAGAACATAATTTTAAAACTTTTGAAATGGCTTTAAAGAATGCACATTATGATATTAACACACCAAATGTAGATACTAACTACAACAACTAACATGTTGACTGCTAACGCCGACTTCAGTCGGCGTCGCTAGCACTTCAATGTGGCGCACTCCGACAAAAGTCGGCACCAGACCAACAGAAATATATTGAGTCAGTGTGAGCTTAGCCTCAGACGGAGACGTTATAATCGTTGCCAGCCTGCCAGCTTAGAATGCGAGCTTTACTTTGGTGTAGGTTGGTACTAAAATTTCCCGTAAAATCCTGTCTGGCAATGCTTTTGTCCCGGTGTTGGGGATTTTTTCTCTTCAACCCACATTACAAAGACACTGGATACGGATCCGTGCAGTGCTGCTACCTTTGGGTGTTCCAGTGAACTACATCCACTCTCGGGGTAACGCAACACAGTCACCACTGCTCTTTTGTGATTCGTCAGACTGAAATATTTGAATGCCAATTGCGTTCGCTGATTCGGTTGCGTGCCGGGGTTTCGCCCGCCACTGGGGAGCGCCTGTACGTTGTTTTCAGCAGTCATCGTGTTAATACATTTCTAAAATGAGGTTTTTCCAAAAACAGTTAATTCAAGTATAAATAAAAAACAAAAAAATAAAAATTTGATTACTTTAGGATTCAAAATTTCAGCAGAAAATAAAAGAAAATTGCACCAGGAATCTAAATGGAATAGAAACCCACAGTTTTTAACTTACTACAACAATTACAGGAAAACTTTCAAAAAAGTGGTTGCATTAGCTAAATTAAAGGCAAATTATGATTTTATTAATAGGTCCAAAAATCAAAGTAAAGCATCTTGGTCGGTCGTAAAACAAGAAATTGCATTAAATAGAAAAAACTCTGACACACCCGTCGAGATCCAATTGAATGATGGAAAAGACCAATATGGCAGTGCATTTGCAATAGCAAATAAATTTAAAAAATTTTTTATTAATGTTTTACAAATTGCTAACCAAATGACAGATAAAAATAAATCCAATCAGCTACTAAACAATAGTCAACATTTAATTAGAGTGCAAAATTCTGCTTTACAATTTAAATTTAGGAAAATTTCAGTTCAGGATCTAAGAAAAGTTTTCACCAGTCTTAGCAATACTAAAGCTTTAGGTTGGGATGAAATTCCCCTCTTTGTTATTAGTAGAGTTTTTAAACTTATTGAACAACCTCTATGCAGACTAGTGAATCAGTACCTGAAGGAAGGAATTTTCCCAGAAAAACTCAAATATGCAGAGATAAAACCTCTTTTTAAAAAGGGTGATGTTAACAATCCTTCTGACTACCGACCAGTTGCTCTTTTGCCTTGTTTTTCCAAAGTTTTTGAAAAAATTGTGAAAAATCAACTTACAGATTATTTAGAACAAAATGATTTACTAAATCCATCTCAGTTTGGTTTCCGCTCAAAATCCAGTACTGAAAAGGCTATTACCAGGATGATTAACTGCATTACGGAGGCCTTGGACGGGTCGCAGCGCACAATAGGTGTGCTATGGGACCTGTCCAAGGCTTTTGACTGTGTTGATCATGATATATTGCTAGAAAAATTAAGCAGACATGGAATAAAAAATGTGGAATTAAAATGGTTCATTTCATATTTAAAAAGTCGTAAACAAAGAATTATTTTACAGAAATGCCAAACTAAATATAAGTCAGAATGGGGTTATACACCCTACGGAGTTCCTCAAGGTTCCATTCTTGGACCTTGTTTATTTTTAATCTTTGTAAATGATTTATGTAATGTTACAAATATGCATACTTTTCAATATGCAGATGATACTGCTTTAATCTGCACTTAACAAAAAACATTGGATTTTAAACAAGACTTAATTACTAATGAGTTTCAACTCCTTGGGGACTGGTTCACAGGGCGATTTTAAACAAGACTTAATTACTAATGAGTTTCAACTCCTTGGGGACTGGTTCACAGCAAATGGTCTATCTATGAATTTGTCAAAGACACAACTACTTCTCAAAACTCGGTCAATTACCTGGGAATTGATATAGATTGGCAACTTAATTGGCAAACAAACATTAAGAATCTATCAAAGAGACTCAGATCAGCTATACTTGTTCTTCGGGTAATTCGACATACTACAAATTTAGACACACAATTAGCAGTATATCACACTTATTTTTCTTCCATCATTAATTAGGGTTTAACAGTATGGGGTTCTTCTAGTAATGCCGAAAAAGTTTTTATCCTCTAGAAAAGAGCAGTTAGAGTCTTAGCCAAAGTGTCTCGAATTACTCACAGTAAAGAATTTTTCATTCAGTTTAAAATTCTTACTTTATATAGTTCTTATATCTTTAAACTGGCTTTAATGGTTAAAAGTGGTTTTGACACATTCATGGAAGATCAACATGAACATCCTCATAACACTAGATTTAAAAACAATACAAAACCAGTTCAACACAGACTTAAAGTATTCCATTTATCTCCTCAGTACATGGGTCAAAAAATATATAACAAATTACCTTCTTCAATTAGGGACACTGATTCATTCCCTAAATTCAAAAAGAAGTTAAAAAACTTTCTTTTGGAGAAGGGCTTCTTCTCATTGGAGGAATATATGGAAGCTGTGTAGATGTTAAGGTTCAGCATATGAAATTTATTTTAGTAATAGTTTTAGTATAGAGACTATAAATTATTGTAACAATGACGAATCACCTGTCTGAATATGATGTTATGTGATTATTGGAAAATAAATAAAAAATAAAATAAATAAACATTTGGTAAGGTTAAAAATAGTTATGAGTCATTACCAAAATTGACCAACTCTCAATACCGATATCGATTCCTGAAAAATCAATTATTGATTCCGATACAATTTTTTTAGTTTTGCCAAATTTTTTAACTGGAATGGCTATACTACACAAACCCCTGTCTTTATGTCCTTCCATTAAGTATGTTTGAATTAATGGGGTGTTTTCAAGTAAAGACAAATTTATGTAGTAATGAAACATTCTAACTAGTAGATGTGTGTGAGCCTTCGTTTTTCAATTGAGCCGAGCTTTTTTCTATCATGAATTTAATTGATCACAAATAATAAGTTAATCAGGTCTAGTCAAAAACATTTTTATCAAATGGAATCTAATGTTAAGATGTTGGGTAATTTTTTAGTATTCTAGATAAAAGGATCAAACAAGGAACTCATTTTATTTTCTACAAAAGGCTAATTTACTTAAAATAGGCGCTGTCATAGACAAAGAATACAAGTGAATGTTAAAATCCCAATAATAAATAAAACAACTTAATTTGGATAAGTGGTTGAATAACTATGGAAAATTTTGTTTTTCTTAGGGATGGACGGGTCCCGAAATTTCGGGAATTTTTCGGGAAAAAAATATTCCCGATTATCGGGACGGGATTACATTTGATTCGGGAATTTTTCGGGACGGGATTTGGTCCGATCGTCGGCGATTTTGCCGCTTCGCGAGTGCCGATGACGCCGCTATTGCGAGCGATAGGTCCGCGAACGCAGGAGACGAAGTCATTTCGACGATCGCGCCGTGACCGCGGGGTCCTACCGACGATCGCGCCGTGACCGCGAGTCATACTGACGATCGCGCCGTGACCGCGAGTCATACCGACGATCGCGCCATGACCGCAGAGTCCTACCGACGATCGCGCCGTGACCGCGGGGTCCTACCGACGATCGCGCCGTGACCGCGGAGTCATACCGACGATCACGACGTGACCGTGGAGTCCTACCGACGATCGCGTCGTGACCGCGAGTCATACCGGCGATCACCCCGTGACCGCGGAGTCATACCGGCGATCACCCCGTGACCGCGGAGTCATACCGACGATCACGACGTGACCGTGGAGTCATACCGACGATCGCAACGTGACCGCGAGTCATAACGAAGATCGCGCTGTGACCGTGATTATTGGACCAACGATCGCACCGTGACCGCGAGTCATACCGACGATCGCGTCGTGACCGCGGAGTCATGCCGACGATCGTGCCGTGACCACGAGGCATACCGACGATCACGACGTGACCGTGGAGTCATACCGACGATCGCAACGTGACCGCGAGTCATAACGAAGATCGCGCTGTGACCGTGATTATTGGACCAACGATCGCACCGTGACCGCGAGTCATACCGACGATCGCGTCGTGACCGCGGAGTCATGCCGACGATCGCGCCGTGACCGCGAGTCATACCGACGATCGCGCCGTGACCGCGGAGTCATGCCGACGATCGCGCCGTGACCGCGGAGTCATGCCGACGATCGCGCCGTGACCGCGGAGTCATGCCGACGATCGTGCCGTGACCGTGAGTCATACTGTCGATCATGCCGTGACCGCGAGTCATACCGACGATCATCCCGTGACCGCGAGTCATACCGACGATCGCACCGTGACCGTGAGTCACAAGTTTCTATAGGTACCTGTATATTGTTACCCATTTTTTTGGTTTTTATAGATCAGTACCACAAACGGTAAAAATTGATTTTGTATGTCTTTTTTTGGTAACTGCAATACTCAAGACTTTCTTTTTATGCACAGAAAAAATCCCGTCCCGTCCCGTCCCGAAAATCGGGAAGGAAATAAAATTCCCGTCCCGTCCCGTCCCGAACTAAAAATTCAATCCCGTCCATCCCTAGTTTTTCTGATCACCAGATCCCCTAAATTATATCTGAAACAGTTGGTCAGGATTGGTCCATATTCAAATAACAGTTCTTTCTTAATCTATTTGAAAACCAGTGAATCAGACACCAAGTCTGAGGAGGTTAAATTAGCACAGTTGCTTAATGTAGCTAAAGCATTATCAATCGTCCAAACTTTTAATCTAGTGGAAATAGGTAAACTAAAGTTGAAAAATGTATCAGCCACATTTGATGCCATTTTACACCAAAAACTAATGTAGTGTACCAACAATTCTTATTTTTTTAAAGGGTACAGATGGAAGGGGAACCATTTTTAACAGAACTGAAAAAATAGCTAGTTACTGTGAGTTTAATGAGCAAGAAGATAGTCTAATTAGAGAAAGGCTAGTATTATGCATCAGGGATGAGTTTTTTTCAGGAGCAACTCTTAATAGACGGCTGAGTACAGGGCAGAGTAGTGGGAACTGAGGAATTCACCGATTACTCCCGCTTAATCGGGTTCCTATCGCTTAGCACGAATGCACCGATAGTTATACAGTTTAATATGCATTCAATTTTAATCCATTAAATCCATCAATGGAGTAAATAGATACAGCTTTTAAGCTTTAGAATCATACTTTTAGCCCAATTTATATGGACATGTTTGAAAAGCTCCAAGTAATATACCTTTTAATACAAGTAATATACGTTTATACAATAACGTTAACTAATTATTGGTGAATTTTATAGTTATAAAATATTCAGAAATCATGTTCAGTATGAACAAAATACCATTTTATTTTTGTACTTTTTTTGACTTAAAGTATAAATAATTTAACAGACTGCTTGAATTTCCGGTAAAAACTTAACGTTAATAAGTCAACAAATAAAGTAAGATATAAAGGTAGAGTAAAATACTCAAGTAAGGGGTATGGATTTTTACTCACAAAAAGATCATGGAATCAGTTTGTGTACCATCCACATTGGGAAATGCTGACTCATGTGGTACAGTAGAGACCCGATAGTCCGAAATGGTTGGGATTTCGGATTACCAAATATTTAGGATTAAAACTTTTTTTAAATATTGTTGTCCTAGGACGTTGGGAACGAGTCCGGGATTGTTTTTTACATTACTTTAGGCTAGACCTAGGGGTTGCGGCATTATGAATTAGATTAAGTCTATTGGTGATTTGGCGGGATTGGAATCCGGGACAAAAATGAAAAATATTTACTAAAAAATTACAAAATATTTACTAAAATACTCTATACAACAAGTCGTTACACGCAGTTTCGGCTTTTCCCAATGGGTGACTGCACGTACTGGGTCATAACTTTTTGTGTCTAAAATTAGGGGTCTGCGGTGCACCGAAAAAGTCGGTACGGTACGGTACAAGCTTAATTACCGTCATCGGTTAGGTACAGCATTTTACATGGTACAAATTCGGTTCGGTACAGCCTAATTAAAATAATAAATTACTTTCAGTTTACTATCATAGTCAACGACAGTTGGTTCCTAGCATATAAAAGTCTTATCAGATGTTTGTTTACGATCTTCATAATTTATTACTAGGGTGATGATGCAATAAAAACCCCATTAGCAGTTCCAAACCATTAACATTTTATCACAATCGGTGTATTCAAGTACTTCCAAGAACTGTTGAGTTTTATCACTTTTATTTCTTTACGACTTTCTCCAATTCTATTTTATCATAAAAATAATAGTTTTATGATGATTGTTAAATGTTATCTCTAACTCAGTCAGTATTTTAGTAGATATTCAATTTGCCGCTGGCCATTGCGTACTGCCATAAAACTGTTTATGGCTACATATTAAACTTGTAACTAATCTACAATCTTATTTTATAAGTTAAAATATTTGTTATAGATATTTTATCTTTCTATTGACAACCACAAGCATAGTTGTTGTTGTTTGCAGAATTTTTGTTTTCGTTATTCAAGCCTACTCGGTCTCAAATTATGTCATTACATGTTCTGTATCTTGTCTTATATTGTTAGATGTGGCTGTTTAAGGCTTAAAATGTTTTTTAGTTTCCTGTATTTTTGTGTTGTGTTGAAGGTACTTTATGCAATCTAAATCTTATGAACTAGATAGTGATTTTGCTACCCTCATTGTAACCTAATCAATTTATATATAGGCCCTCCTAAATAATTAGGTTCTGGCCGGGTCTTTTGATTCTTTGGAAGAGCTTTAAAATATACTAAGAAAATTGGATTGAGCCTAAGATAAACTAATGATTGATTTGATTGATATTGTGGATGTTAACTTTGTAAATTAAAAGACAATAATCTTACTCTGTGATAATCCAAATTTTAGTTTCAGAAAAAAAAAAACTTTTCAAGAGTTGTATCCATCTTATAACTAGTTTTGAAGCTGATACAAAAATATGCTCTTTGCCATTACTTCATCATAACCTTTAGTGAACAGCTGGCAACTACACTGTCATCATACTGAATGCTTTTAGTTTTAGGCCTATATGTTTAAAAAAATTTTTTAAACAACTAGACATTGTGTTGGTTGGAAATAATATACCAGTTGTGTTAAATTATCTTGTCAATAAATGTTTCAAACATGTTTGCTCCTAAAAACTCTTATCATATTTTTAAAACCACTTTTATCATGGCTATTCAAAGTATCTCAGATGAAGTATCTCAGTGTTATTCAAAGTATCTCAGAGTAAAATAGGTAAAGCCTTTATCTTAACTGTGATTTTTCTTGACACAATCCTCGTAGTAGTAAAAGGTTTTGTTTTAATTTTAGTTTCAGCAAAAAACTTTTCAAGAGTTGTATCCATCTTATAACTGTGGTTATAAGATGGATACATTTTGTATAATATAATGTGTGGTACAGTAATTGTTGTTAGAAAACCATGAATGTAGGCCATTTTCATAGCTATGTCAATGTATTAAAGTTACAAATAATGGTTTAAATACAGTTCTGAGCAGAAAACCGCAAAAATACGGGTAGCCGCGTACCGTACCGATTTTGTACCGAGAACCGAGGAGTAGTAGGAGTAGTTTTGACTTTCCCCAATAAGTGACAGCACATACTGGTAAAAAAAAATTAAAAAAATTATTTGTTGGTTTTGGATTAAGCAGACTTTTGGATTACTGAAGTTCGGATTATCGGGACTCCACTGTACCAAAAAAATAAAAATTTCATTCAGAATTTATTCAAGTGAGGCTTTTGATGTTAGCAGTGCTTGTTGGTTGGGGAACCAGGGATGCTGTGTGGCCACGTGAATCAGAATCAGTATCATGAATCGGCACATCCATAATTAATTAAAAAACATGTTATCAATATTGAGAGTTTATTTTTCAGACATCTATATCGAGAATCGATAAATTTGGATATCGACAGAACACTAGTTTTAGTTTTGTTTTAAGGTATAATAAAATAAGCTATTCAGTGCTAATAAAGCAAAAAAGGAGGGGAGACACAATTTTACACATTCAATAGTTTTATGAAATCTTTGATTATTTTATTTGCGATACAACATAACTATCGTCAGAGGTTTTCAGTGGCTGCATTGTGACATGACCTTATGATATCACATCCAACAAACTATCAAGAATGTGAAGTCAGTGTTTTAGTGTACATATTTTTCGTAAATGGGTATTTTTTTAAGATAAAGACAATATGTGATGAGTATGATTACCTTTTTCTTGTTTGATGATGGAGTACCATTTGAAACTTTGAAGTCACAGACAGATGGTGAGGACCAACCAGCTGCAGCACTCAGTGAAGTGTTGCTATCAATGTTCTGAAACACAAGACAAATAGTAACTCACAGAAGAAGGCTGAGTGCAAAAGAATAAAGATTTTCTATTTATGTTTTAGCCCAATATTCTCTTATGTATTATGTAGATCATTGGAGTGTATTATGTAATAAATTTGGTTTAATATAGCTTAACTTAATTTTGTATTAAATTATGTTATCATATTGTATTTATATGCAGTAGATAAATGAATTGAATTGAATAGAAATTTCCACTATGCTATGGCTTAACAATAAATATTCTAAACCCTACACACAGAGAGTTCATGAACGTAAACCACAAGAGGTTTCTTGTAACAGCAAGTCGAAGTATTAAATTAATATTGTTCTTACAAGCATCATAAAGATAACATTTCCAAGAAACAATAACATGTTGGTTACAAAGGTTCACTTATCTTAAAATTAGGGGTCTACGGAACAGAAAATTTAAGGTCGGTACGATTAGGTATGGTACATTGTTAAGTACATAGGTTCTCGGTACAAAATTGGTACGGTAATTTTGAAGTTTTTTTCTCAGGATTGTATTTAAACCATAATTTTTTTATTTTGATACATTGCCATTACTATGAAGATGGATAGAAGCCAATATTCATGGTATTTTATGTCAAATTACTACGCATTATTAAAAGGAAGTTAAATTTATAAGGTGTAATTTTTTGCAGCAAAAAAGTGTTCATGTAAACTTTATACTTTTTTTAAAATAAAGAGGTCAGCGGCTTGTTTTAACCTTACATTTGCAAGTACACATAGACTATTTGACCGTGCTTGGAACGTATCCAGCAAAGGAAGGGGTGAACCGGTACAGTATGAAGATGAACTATACTGATAACATGTTTCCGGCTGTGACCAGGATCCGTACTCATGACATCACTGCCTTGGGCCCCAAGTCCTTGACAATACCGACTGAGCCACCGACTCACCTAACTCTGTTACTCTGTTATTCCATTAATGACAATTATAACGAATGGTTATGACAAATGAGACACTCCTTCCTAAGTACTATCATAGACAAATAGAATAAATAGAGACTGTCAAAGGAAAGGAAGGTTCCGGCGCCCACCGCTAGGAGTGCCTTGTAGTTACGGAGCACACCGCTGCAGGCAAAGAGCGCAGGAGCCGTATGCTACCAGCAGACGCTGCAGCGGTGTGCACCGTAACTACATGGCACTCCTAGCGGTGGGCGCCAGAACTTAAGCTAACCGCAGCACTGCTGACGGTCTATGTTTACTCTATTTGTCTATGGTACTATAAAGTGAACCATAGGCAGCTGTGTTTTGTGTTATTACCTACAAATTGATAGTGACCCTGTCTCTTATTGTAATTAATGCATAGCAATCATGTAAATCCATTGTTCAATCTCGCTTGTCTCATTAGTTTTAACGTTTGACTTTGGAAGAATTCTTTGACTAAGATGGTTAATAAAAAGTAATTAATTATATACTGGTGAAATTGTCTTCCCAAGTTTTATTAAAAAAGTTCATGTTTAAAAAAGTTATTTTCGGTAATGTGCATGGAATACAGAACTTTAAAGTAAGTGTTATGAACTGTATCAACCACTGATGTATTTTATTGGCATATAGTATCTAAAACATAACGTTTAAAAACTTACTACTTTTCCTTTCAAAAAGCACATGTTTTGTCACTGCACAAGTTCTCAAGTTTACAGGCAATTCACAAACAAAATTTAGTTTTAAAAAGTTTCAGCAATCAAGTTGACAGTTTTTACACAGTATCAGCTAATTATAACATAGCTAAAGATACAAAATAATAAATGTTAAAACTGAAGACAGGAAGGAAACACTCATCTTTGACTTCAGCAGACACTTTCCTGTTCTACTTGGACCTTGTGACGTTTACTCCCACCACCACCTACGTTCATTGATGGAATCAAGGTACACCAGCGGACGACGGCTTATCACATGCTGATAAGCCAATGTAAACAAACGCTATGCCCAGATTTGTCTCAGATACCTATCTCAATCTATTATACTACTGTCACCTTTGAGAAATATATATTAATGTTTCTTGTCTCAATCCAATAATTAAAATATTTGGTTGAAGAAATTAAGAAAATAAAATTTATTTATTCATAAGAAGTAAAATAATAATTTATTCCAATATTATTAACATTTCTTTTTTGTTGGAGTTATTGATTTAGTTATACAAAATGTCAAAGCATCCCTGTGGAGTCTGCAATAGAGGGGTGAAAAATTCTGCAATATATTGTAATAATTGCAAAAATTGGAAACATTTAAGCTGCATAAAAACAGACTATTCCACAGTAAAAAAATTATCTAAGGATGAGTTGAATAAGTGGCAATGTCCTAGCTGTTTGGAAAATACATGTAGCGACAGATTAACGTTAAATGAGGATAGCACGGTGGATTGTGGTGTCAACTTGGTGGAGCCTTCTGTGGAGAATATAAATGGTTTGCCCTTAGCTGAGGAAATCAACAATGCGCTTCTGCAAGAAAATGAAAATCTAAAACAGGAGCTGTATGAAGCAAAAAATCAAAGTTCTTTTTTTGAGATTCAGCTTGAGGACGATCTCAAACAAAAAGAGGAAGAATTTGAGGATTTTAAAAAGTTACATGAAGCAAAAGAGAGAGAATTAGAAGAGAAGATAGCTTTCCTTGAAATAAAATTGAAAAGAGAGAGAGAATTAAAAGAACAAATAATTTTGCAAGCAGAGAAAGAAAGGAATACATCTGAAGACACTACTAAAACCAACAATACACAGAAAACTCTCAACTGCAATGAATGTAAAATCGTAGGGAAGAAACACAGAACATGCTGGCATCAATCAGAACTTTGGAAGCTGAAATATCATTGTTAAAAACTGTAAATAATGATCTAGATAAAAAACTGAATAATGCGGTGAATACTAGAGGTACCTGTTTGGCCTGCTATACTCCACTGAACACGAGCTCAAGTGAAGAAATTAGCCAAGAGAGAAATGCATATTGGAAAATGGTAAAAAATACCAAAAAACAGAAGTCTCAACCTCAAATAAAACTAGCTACGAGCACACCTACTATTATTCTAAACAACCGATTTAGCATATTTTCAGAAGATTCTCCTGATGCTGAGAGTAAAACCCCCATCCAAGATGAACCTAGCAAGCCTGTAACGGCAAACAAGAAAAGGAAAAATCAGAGAAAGAAGCCAAAACTACTTGTATGTGCCGACAGCCATGGGAGAGACCTTGCTTTCTATCTAAACAACAGTAAGCCTACATCAGAATTTGACGCCATAGGATTTGTTCGACCAGGTGCATGTGCTGACCAAATTCTAATTGATGATAATATTGAAAAAGAGACAAATGATAAAGACTTTTTGGTCATTATTGCAGGCTCTAACGACACTGCTAGAAATGAAGCACAGAGAGCTGTAAATAAAATTAGAGAGATAGTCACAAAATATTCTGATCAACAAATAATATTAGTTGAAATCCCCAAAAGACATGACTTGGAAAATTGGTCTTGTGTCAATACAGAAATTAAAAAAAACCAACAGCATTTATAAAACAATTTGTGATGAAAACAGCAACGTAACACTGGTCGAAGTAAGTTCTGCTCATCGTCAATTCCACACCCGCCATGGACAACACTTAAATAAAATGGGCAAACAATGGCAAGCTCAAAAAATATACCAAACAGCCTCAGGTATTTTGAGAGATACAGCACATGTCACCTCATCAGAACCAGAAATATACCTAGTCAACGAATCACCATCAGACACGCCTGCAGAGGAGAGGACTGGACAAAAGCCGATCACCAAGCCAGTGGAGAACAGTGAAGTAATTGAAACCAGCACACCTGCGGAAACCAGTATCCTTGGGAGGACCATCAGCCAAGCAGCACAGCCAACCACAACACAGCACGAATCACATGAAGAAAGGGGAGGTACCAGCAGAAGAATACAGGGAAACGACCAATAGACAACACCAACCATCATAGGTTAGGTAGCTATGTACATAATTTTAGACTAGGTAGAGATAAGAAACAATTTTTTTTTAATGCATTTAAATATTCAAGGTGTAAAAAACAAAATTGATGATTTAAACTTAATTCTAGAAAAAATAAGTAAAAATACCCAAATAATATGTTTAAATGAGCACTGGTTGACAGAGGAAAATATATGCATGTTAAACAAAGTTAAAGGTTACTATATGGTAGACTATTATGTTAGAAAATCTGCCAAAAGAGGAGGAACAGCAATTTTATTAAAAGAAGGCTCAGGAATAAATTGTAAAGTACGAGATGATCTAAAAGTTTTAAATGCAGATTTCTATTTTGAGTGCTCAGTAGTGGAAATATTAAATTTTTCAGAGCCTGTTATAATTATATCCCTTTACAGGGTGCCATATAAGTTTACCCTAGGAACCTTTCTTAAAAAGCTTCAGTCTATGTTTAGAATGTTTAAATCTAGGAAAAAGGTCAATGTATTGTTTGCAACAGACTGTAATGTTAACGTTTTAGATAGTGTAGAGTCTAAGGAATTTTATAATGTAATAAACTTCAATGGGTTCAAAATAAATATCAAAGAGGTGACTAGACCCATTAGCAATACTTGCATCGATAATATTATAACAAATAAAAAACTCACTTTGACAAATATTTTGGTAGAGGACATAGGCCTTTCTGATCATAGTGCCATTTGGGCTGAAATACCCAATTTTAAATGTAAAGTAGAAAATAAAAAGTATACCCTAAAGAGAAGATTTACACCAGAGGCTATTCACGAATTTAAAGAGTCAATAAAGCAAACAGATTGGAAGGTAGAATCAAACAAGTCAGCAAATGAAAATTACGATAACTTTTTAAGAGAGTTCATGTTAAATATGAATGAGTCCTTTCCTGTAAAACCTTTGAGGCAAGAAAATGGTAAAGTAATTAAATGGATAACAGAAGGTATAAGAATTTCAAGTAAGAAAAAAAGACTTCTCCACAGTGAAATAAAGATTAATAAAAGTGCCAAGTTGCAAAATTACTACAAGATATATAGACGAATATTTAGAAAAGTTGTAAGGGCAGCTAAACGTAAGGCAAATGATGACTTTATTAAAAGATCTAAATGTAAGAGTAGAGCATCATGGAGGGTAATAAAGAATGAGTTGGGAATGATACAAAAGAATAATAATGACATAAAAGAAATATTAATTGACGGAAAAACTATCAACAACCCCATAGTTATTCCTAATTACTTTAACAACCATTACCTAAAAATAAAACAACAACTGAAAGTTCAAAGTTTGCCACATAGAGCAATTGAGTGCTGTAGTAAGGTAGCCATCCCAGATAATACAGAATTTACATTTAAAGAAGTAAAAGAGATAGATGTATTAAAGATTATTAAGTCAATATCGAACAAGAGATCAACAGGTTGGGATGAAATTCCAGTTAGATTAATTAAGGACTGTAAAGAGTACATAGCTGCACCACTTACAAAAATAATAAATCAATCATTAAAAACTGGTGAATTTCCAACAAACCTTAAAACTTCAATCGTAAGGCCAATTTTTAAGAAAGGAAATAGAAATTTAATTGAAAACTATCGCCCTGTCTCACTATTACCTGTGTTTTCTAAAATAATTGAAAAGGTGGTACACACGCAACTACAAGAATATTTAGAATCAAATAGATTAATTACAAACAGTCAGCATGGTTTTAGGAAGTCACACTCAACAAACTCAGCACTAATATCACTAACAGATGATATATATAAGGCCATGGATGGATCACAGTCGACTCTTGCAGTTTGCTGTGATCTATCAAAGGCTTTTGACTGTGTAGACCATGCAGTCCTTTTAAAAAAATTAACTAAATATGGGATCAGAGGGTCGAGTTGGAAGTGGTTTGAATCATACCTAACAGGAAGAAGGCAAAAAATATCAATAATAATAGAAAACAATAAATATGAATCTGAGTATGACACAGTTGTAACAGGAGTGCCACAAGGCTCAATTTTAGGCCCAGTTTTATTTACTATATACACCAACGACCTCCCAGAGAATGTAAATGCCAAAATAATCATGTTTGCTGATGACACTACAGCACTCATAAAAGGAAAGCATTTATTAGATATAAAGGAGAACGCAGAGGCTACGATACAAGATCTAGAGCATTGGTTTGTTATTAATGGCCTTCATTTAAATACTATAGGGTGATTACCGAGAAACGCATGTTTTTCAAATAACTAGTATTCAGGCAATTCAAAGCAAAAAATATATTTATGAGTGGAAAAACAGTGTACACAATATGCAATTTCAGAATAAAATTACTTACATTTTAGTGTTTAAAAATTACATATCTAAGGTGGTCGCCTTCTGCTTTGATACAGTGTTGAAGGTGTTCCTTAAAACTTGCTACTAACATATCTCTAGGAGTGGTGTTGATTTCCTGGCGAATAGCTTCTTTAAGTTCCTGTAATGTTTGTGGTTTGTTTATGTAAATTCTAGATAAAAAAAAAACCATTGAAAGATATCGGGAACTGCAAGATCCGGTGAGCGAGAAGGCCAAGTGACATCACCAAAACCTGTGATAACTCTTGTAGGGGATGTTCGAAGAAGGAATTCCATACTAAGCAGAAGGCGACCATCTTAGAGATGTAATTTTTAAAAACTAAATTGTAAGTAATTTTATTCTAAAACTGCATATTGTGTACAGTGTTTTTCCACTAGTAAATATAACTTTTTATCTGAATTGCCTGAATACTCGTTATTTGAAAAACATACGTTTCTCGGTAATCACCCTATAGTAAGACGAGTTTAGTTCATTTTATAAACTTACAGAGTAGGGAAGGAGAGTTGAAGCTAAGAATTAGCGGTAATGATGTGAAATGCCAGATTTCAGTAAAGTTATTAGGTGTTGTGTGTGACCAGAACTTAAATTGGCGGGAACATACGACACAGCTATGCAAGAAGTTAAATAGTATATGTCACAACATGAGCTGTCTAACTCATTGCACAAGTATTGAAACTAAAATGACACTCTACTACGGATATTTTTATTCATTGATAAAATATGGGATAGTGTTATGGGGTAATACTGAATTTTCTAAAGAAGTACTAACAGCACAAAAGAAAATCTTGAGAATAATGACTTTAACAGGGCCAGGTTCTACATGCAAAAATCTATTTAGAAATTTGAAAATCCTTACAGTACCAAGTATTTATATTTATGAAACTTTAAACCATGTAAAGAACAACCTAACATGGTACTCAACTGAGAAAACCCAACACCATTACAACACAAGAAATAAAAATTTACTGGTTTATCCACACCACTCTACCACTGCTCTAGAAAAAGGTATTTATTACATGGGAATGAAACTTTTTAACAAATTACCTAACAACATGAAAGAAGCGTCTCAGAAAGATTTTTCAGAGAGTGTTAAAAGATTATTGATCAGAAAGGCCTACTACAAAGTTCAAGATTTCTTAAATGATACTGAAATATAATCTAGTGGTTCTAGTCATTTAGTATTAGTTTTGTTGTTTTATATTATCTACTTTTATATGTTTATCACATTCAAACACTTACGGGAATTATTTGTTTGTGTCAAACTCGTATATTATTGTTCATATATTTATTCTCTGTTAATTTTTTTGTTGCCATTTTGTTACCCGTAGATTTACAAATTTTATACCTTGTTATGTTTGAATATGTTCATGTTGTATTGTAGCACTAAATTTAAGACTGTGATCAACATCTTAGGAACCAATTTATGTTTTAGAATAATTAAGGACTGAGAATCAATTTTTAAGAGATCAAGACGAAGCACCTGTACATGTGATTTTCACAAATTTGTATGTTATGTGCAAATAAATTATCATTATCATTATCATTATAAGGCTCTACTGAACCAAATTTTAACCCTGTAAAATCACAGAAAACATACTACTATAACCCAGAATGCCAACCGCATAGTAAGAAGCGTTAAGTACTTTGAGAGAGCTTTGCCTGTCAATTCGTAGGCAGCGCCACCAGCGTTGCTATGCTGAGTGCATAGCAACGCTAGTGGCGCTGCCTATGAACTGACAGGCAAAGCTCTCTAAAAGTACTTAACGATTTATACTATGCGGTTGGCATTCTGGGTTTTAGTAGTATGTTTTCTGTGGTAAAATGCAGTAACCGAACCAATGGCGGTAACTAAGCCAGAACCATACGTTACCGACTTTTAAAGTGCACCGCAGACCCCTACAAGAAATAAACTTAACGAACAAACATTTCATATGAATTCGAATTAGGCGGAACCTATTATGTCCAAGTAATAAATCAACAGAAACATACAAAGTAAGGCAATGATGCTGGTAGTTGTATAAATTTACATATTGTATACATGATTCAAACAAAGTGCATTTTAGACTATAACAATATATTTTTAGTTTAAGATTAAATTAATATTATAATATTATCATGGTTTGATCAAATTACCTTTTTGCATTGCACAGCAGATGTTCTTGGAGTAGTTGTTTCTCTGGTCTGAAAAGATATAGAAAAATCACTTAACATTTTTAAGTTTAAGATTTACGCTATGGAATGGCATTTAAATTAAAGTTTTAAAACATCAAATTAATGGTAATATCCTTCCAGTATTATTAGTCATTGCAAAATTCAATTCAATATTTCTTTATTCATTAAAGCACTAAAGTACATGAATAGTGTCATTCTCTTACATGTTGTTTTTACAATGTTCTTACATTCTGTAAATAATTACAAAGTTCTTAAAATCTAACACACAAAAATTACACAAATTAAAATTTTTTTAAAATCCATATTTTTTAGCCCCTGAGCTGATCTTGTGACTAAATTAATAAATAGAATTACCTTCGTCAATCAGCTCATTGTAGTATAGTATTTACATTGTTATGTATAAAATAGGAATAAAAATAATGAAGTGCCGCGAGATAAGAAGTATGTATGTGTGGAATATTCCCATTCATTAAAAAATGTATTGGACAAAGAATTAAAGGGACACGGTGTAGAGTTAACTTTTAGGACAAATAACAAGACTATAAACAAACTTAATGTTACGAGAAAGGTTATTGATAAGGGTGACAAGTCAGGGGTATACAGAATTAAATGTGCTAGTTATCCTAGTGTTTATGTTGGAAAAACGGGGCACACTTTTAAAACTAGATATAAGGAGCATCATCCGAAACCGAAAGCGGACAAACAAAAGTCAACATTTGCCCAACATCTTATGGACAATAATCACGACCAAAATGACCACAAGACTGGTTTGGAAATCCTTCATACATGTACAAAAGGCAATAAATTGGACACCCTGGAAGAATTTGAAATTTACAAAACACAAATAAAAAATGACAATAGCGAACTTATTTTAAATGATAAACTACAATTCAAGTCACACATAATTTTCAATAGAATTTTAAACCATTATTCAAGGAAGGATTCAAGACCAAGAAGGCAAAGTACAAATGATAATGCCGCCGCTGACACGACACCGCAAGATTGACTCCAGTCAGCTACTTGCTCGAGTGCGGATATGTGTATTCAACAGGCCTGTTTAGTTAAAATCCCCCATTTATGTTTATATATGTGCAGTGGCGGCTCTAGGACCTTGTCAAGGGGGGGGCTCCGGGAGGTTTGGGGGGTGTGGAGCATCCCCCTATAGAAGAGGGTGGTCCGCTTTAAAATTTTACATTTTTAAAGCCGTTTGGTGACTTTCTAAAGCAATTTTTAACGCCTAAAACTGTGTCCAATAATAGTCCAAAAACTCCCATTTCACCTGTTGTTTGTCATGAGCAAGTAGACATAAGTAGAGTAGAGAAGTATGTTTTTTAAATAGTTTTTACCAATTTATTTAATAGGTCTAGATCAGATTTATTATCCTAATAGAACTAGGCCTATATTAAATATGAATAGCTTAATTCATAACTAAACTCAAAACATAACAATTAATCCTCTATTGTGGTTTCTATTTTATAATTTAACTTGCACTTTTTAAACCTAGTTTTAATTTTTACTGCTCAATTTCGGAATTTTAGGAGAGGGGTTTGGCCCTCTAATCCCCTCCCCTGCCTACGGCCTTATAAAACGGGTCTACACTGTATTGAAAATATAACTAACAATTAATAATTTAATAGTAAAAAGTCCACGGCAATAAGGCGTAGATAACCAAACGGTAAGGCCTGACAACAATTGAATGTTTAGATAAACATCCACGGCAATAACGAATAGAAAACCAAACCATGAGGGTAAGACTAATTTTTTCAAAGAAATTCTGTGGTCAATATTTTTGATCCCTTCATTGATAATCAGGCTAACTTCGTTAGTGACGTTAGCCGTCGACGACAACGAAATGCCGTCGTCCATTATTATTTAGGCCTACAACCCACGGCAAATTTACCCGTAATATTAAGACTAAGAATAAATAACTATAACTAAAATTGTCCGAGTCACTTTACCTATGGTTAGTTTACTTAGTTTTCGGGTTAATTAGGTTAGCCTATACTAAAACTACAGACCCGCTGCCTTCCTTAGGCCTCCATCACTATCACTATCACTAAACACTATTTACCACAAAACAACAGGTCATTTGGCACTAAACTTTAACTGAACTGTGGTCATGGACTTGGAAAGAAGTGAGGTTAGTTTGTGTTTATGGTAGTGACAGTGTGGATGATGGCTCCAGCGCTGCCAACATGGTTCTTCCTATCCTAATCGTGTGTGATGCAGAATTATCCAGCTTAGGGTGGCTGCCCTCATTTATGAATGCGCGCGCAGCTTTGGACTCTGCCCCAGAGTCCCTATTGTAAAGCATTGGAATGACGTCATGGCACCCTCAGCGCTGTTAGGTGTTTCTACCATAAGACTACATGCATTGAGTTTGGGACGGAGGAGGCCGCCGTCCGCAATGCACATTATGAAAGCGACTATCGCAAAACAGCCATTACTGGATTCAAAATTTAAAACTATTTTATTTCATATTATTATCATATTGATTAAAGTACTCGTAAGTAATTGTAATTTAATTTAACTTACGATAGATTATTTTTTTATTACATAAATACAAAAAATATTGATTTCTGTATTGTTGGGAGGGCGGCGTCCGAGAGTCCTTATGGGCTAGCCGCTACTGTATATGTGTAAACTGTCGCATGTGACAGTTTGTGTTTTTGTATATTAACGACGCCACTAAGGCTTAACGTCTGATGATGGCACAAAGATGCTGAAACAGCCGTAACAATGTAAATACTACAATGAGCTGATTGAAGAAGGTTGATTCTATTTATTGATTTAGTTAAAAATTTACTTTCCTTCTAGAATTCTACAGTTCATCAAGGGAATACAATACCTTGTTGATGAAAAATATTTTAAGACCCCTCTTAAATCCCACCATGCTTTTTGCAGATTTAATTTCATTTGGAATTTTGTTGTAAAATTTGGAGTCAGTATAACTTGGTTTATTACTGTAAAGTTCTAATCTGTGGCGGTTTAAAGCAATGTTGGTTTTGTTTCTGGTATTGTAATGGGGGTGTTCACCAGTTAACACCAATTGAGAAAATCACACATTAAATCATAATGTGCAGAGGGGCCACCCAGCATCCCTCGACTAGTACACGGCAGCCGGGTCAGTGATTAACCGACCACGACACATCTCCTGCATATGTGAACGGTCCCATATACTTCTTCACCCCATTGCTGTTTAAACGACACCCGGCACCCGACAGCCGAGTAGACGTGAAACAAGCCTTTGATTTAAAACCTCCACAACTTACCATTGATGCATTTACTGAAGGTTGGTTTGGTGCACTTTCAGGTTCCTCTTCCATTTCCTGGAAGAAACTTTGTATTAATCTATATATATATATATAGTAGTGATGGTCGGATCCGGATATCGGAATGCCGGATCTGAGCTAGAACCGACACCCGATCGGATCCACAAAAAACCGGATCTTGGGCTGGATCCGGTTTTAATGGATCCGATTTTTTTTTATACTATTAACACAAAATGGGCGAGATTTTGAGTTCGAGTAGTGTACGGCCTTGGAACTCGAGCTTATCTTTGAACTCGCTAGTTTGGTTTAAAATTGTAAAAAATTAATATTTGTTGAAATGTAACTTGTGTTTACATAAAATGATGGATAATTTGTATTACTGTAGATTCTACAGTCATACAAATATATAAATAAGCAAGAGGTGGTTGTCCTAACCTAATTTTATAGCTGTCACGACAGAATAGGTCAACTCAAAGCAGTCGCCGGCGACTGAATGGCAATGGTATACTGACTTGACACAGAATAGAATGGCATGATCGGTAGTGATTTTGTTTTAAAGTAGGCCTACTGTTTCACAATAGAAAATTCCACTACTGAACTGTTACGTAAGCAATAAATTTATGTTTATAAAAGTCATAATAGAAACACTATAAAGGCAAAACAATAGAAGGGAAGGAGGCGTTGTGCAATGACCTCGAAATGAGCAGAATAGTAACATTGAGTAGGGGGTTGGAAGGGGGAGGGGAAGGGAAGGGTGAGACATTTGAGCTATTTAGACTAGACTTTCACCACTTCCCAAATGGCTGGGTACGGGGATTACAATAGCAGGTTTTTTCCTTGCCTGGTTTGACTTTTGTCTTTTTGTGTAGGAGATTTGAATAATCAAAAATATAATTTGAATTGACCACAATTATTTAGCATTGATAATACAATTTGCAAGGGACCAGGAGGAAATAGAACAAAACACTAAAATTAATAGAATAACACACAAAGTAAACAAGAAATGAAATACAGAACACGGTGATTTAACACTGTCACTGTACTCAATTTTGTTGTCTAGAAGGGTCGGTGAACTAATCAATAAATAGCCAAAACCAGTTTCCTCCCCCTATTTTCTCTCAGTCTCACCACCACCCCTCCCCCCCTGAGCCGAGAGGCCCAACACTTTGTCCTTGAAACACCCTAGCCTCTGAAACAATAAACCCTTAAGGTCCATTTCCTATCCTGCGACTGTTACGACTCTAGTCGGCTGAAATAAATGACTGCTTTAATGCAAAGGGGAGCGTTTCATAAACTCCAAATTTCACAAACTCCAACGCTTAAAATATTAAATAAACAGAGTGGTTCATAACCTCCAATTTTCATAAGCTTTAAATCTATAACATTCAAATAATCACTGTTTCACAATGTCCAAATTTCACAAACTCCAACGTTAAGATACCAAATAAACAGTGCGGTTCATAATGTCCAAATTTCATAACCTCCAACGGTACAGTCTGAGCCAGAAGTCTCTACAGTGGTTGCCACAGTCAGATAGCAGGCATCGTTCGCCAGCGCTCAACTACTGATTATACGTGCATTTTATGATTGAAGAACACTCAGCTGTGTGACTCAAATATGTGTTAGCACACAATGTGCAAATCAAATTTACATTTTTACATTTTTAATACCTTTAATTCAAGCTTTCAGCTGAGTTTCTTAACTGTTCCGTCTCTCAATTAAAAAGCCAATTATTACATTACAAATATCGTAAGAGATTTTTTTACCGATGAAAAATTTTAAAACATATAAATATGTTTTATAAGTATATTTTCTAATAGCTGTTAAAATTTCATAATGATTACATCAGTTGTTTTTTTGTTATGTGTAAAAATAGCCCTTTGTTAGAAAAGTGCCGAAAACCTTGTACTTTATTCATTCTGCCCACTAAAAGGATGAGTTTAAACTACATAAAAAGGTAGAAACTAACATACATAAACGCAGAAATACATTTTTATAAGTAGGTTTTAACTTATACATCATATTGTAGGTATACTGGTCACGTTTCAATAAAATCTCATACTCGAGTATTTACACTTTTTTACTCACAGCAGTCTCGTTTCTCTTTGCAACTTAATGTGGCTAGTTCAATAATGTTAAAGTTTTGACAAGGTGATAATTTATATTTTGATTGCCTTTTCAGTGGAGAGCTAAGCATTGTATACCTTTTATTTACCAATAAAAATGCGTAATCACAAACTGTGGAGTCTTTGACTGTCGTATAAAATATTAAGGTATGAAGTTGTTGTTGCTGTAACGATTATTGCATATTCTATTTAAAAATAGTGTTCAATGTAAATAATTCAACAAGTTATTAGATAGGTACCTTTTAAAGTTTTTAGATTCTATTTAGCAAATTTCCCTATAAGAAAGTACAGTAGCTATTACCGTAGGTGGCATGGTAAGACCTAGGCCCGGGACCGATTTACTTTTTGATTTTGATGTCCCCAGAGGCCAAAAACACAATTCGTTAAAATTGTTATATTTGTATATATATGTGTACAGCTGTCCGTGTGAAAGCATGCATTTTCTAAATTTAAACCGACGACAGTCAGGGATTGCCCTGGTGTCTTAAAATGGTTATTGCGAAAGCAAGACAAAAAGGAAATTTTAGTTTCTTAAATTCAGAGGGTAATTCGGATGAAATCATCATTATTCTTTGGATTATGACTATTTCTCCTTTAAACTTACCACTGATAACTTTTGCTTCAATCATTTTTGGTGTCATTTTTAGCGAATTTCCTTATATTGAAATAAGCTATTACCGTAGGTGGCATGGTAAGACCTAGACCCGGGATGGATTTACTCTTTCATTTTGATGTCCCCAGAGGCCAAAAACACCATTTGTTAAAATTTTTATATATGTATATATTCAATTCAATTCAAACAATTTTAATTAATGCAATTTTTTTATTAAATACATAATCCCTTGTGACATGCAAAGCACGCGCGGGATGAAAAACATATTTTTCTTAATACATTTCATTTTCTTGTTTCTGGCAGAAAAAAGCTCATTTTTCCTTCTTTGTCACTTAAACAGAACAGTGAGTAGACATTTCCTATTGCAACAGTTTTAATCATATAAATAACACTTAGACAAATTAGAATAATTTAATAAGAACATGGTTTTTAGAAAGACAATAAATTCTACATGCAAATATAAATAGTTATTTATCTAAAACAAAGCTAAAAATAAGTTACAGATTAGTTATGCTATATTATGATTGATAGAAAACAACAAAGCATTTGACTTTATCACAGACCTAACGGGATTCACTTCGTTTTTTCTTTTGGTAACTCATCTAGAGACCAAGACCTTTCTTTTTACACCTCTACCAAGTTTCTACGATTAAATATTTAGATTCTTCCATGTTAATCATATGGAAGAAAATCAAACTTTGATGGAAGAACCTGCCCAAACTAATAAAGATTTCAAATAATGAAAAAGACTTTGCAAAACTACAGATCAGGGCCATTCTTTTGACACTTTAATCATCGAATTCGGTCCAAAAATGAGGGAGGAGGTCTGTTTACAAAAATCGGCTTAGCGTATTATATATATATAGATTTCCATAGTGGTTAATTATTCATGAGATTTACTTTCTGGAGAGAATTTGTAGAATAGTGTTTTATTAACTGTAAGGGTTTCTGTAATATTATTTATAATATGTTACCTTAAATTATCACTTACATTTCATTACACAGTTTAACTTTAACTAGTCTGAATCTCAATTTTTCAGTGAATATAAATTAAAATGTATGCAGCACTTAGCTCGAATTGATTAGGGGTTTAGGTTGGATAAGAAAAAGTACAGTCCAGCAAAAACTTCACACCACGGCCTTGCTGGCGTTGCAGTCAAGAGGGAAGCTATCGTCAAGAGGAAACACCATACTTTGCAAAAAAATATATAGGCCTATTTTTTGTTTTGGTCAGAGAGGTTCTGCCTGTGGCTAACTTGTAGCCAATAGTTTAATGCATAAAATAGCCTGTATTTTTTTAATTTTTTACAAACAATGTTTCTGTAGATTGCTTAAACAGGTAGGGCAATTTAGCATTTTGCAACGTGTAGAAAGAAACTACAATCGTACGCGTGCCGTATGGACTAATGTTTAATTACCTAAGGACAAAATAAAAATTAATTTATCTTTTACTGACTTAAAAAAAAACTGCAAAATCGGCATGTAAACTGCGAACTCAATTAGGCCTTTTACCATCACTAACTTTAACAACAAAACAAAGATACCAGAAAACGCCAAATAAAATTTTAACACAAATCACTAATTTCACTAATTAATTATGGATTCAATATTAAATGGAAAACTCCTGCTTTGTTTTTATTTCAAAAACATTATAATGAGATGATATATTCTAAACGTTTCTGTAAACATTTGACGCTTACTTTAGTGTTTAATCAATATTTTGTTTAAAGTGGAATGACCTCAACGGCTACTCTGGAACTAACCTGAGAATTAAACTAAAAAAGTTCGTAGAGACAATATATTTTTTCACTAAAGCAATTACTATGACAAGTTCCAGTGAGAGGGATTTATTAATTTTGTTTGGAGAAGGTTTTAACTAGGTACATTCTGTTTCTCAAAGGAAAAGGGGTTAAAATCATATAGACTAGCATGCATAGTATGAATAAAGTACAGGGAAAACCTATAACAATAATATTTTGAGGTAGTTTCCTTGTCTTTATATGCTTGTCAATGCTGGAGAAACGTAATTTAGTGATTGGTTTCGACAAATGGGTAATCAAACCCTAACCATGCACTGCAGTGGCAAAAATGTTAGACGTGAGCCGTTGATTAGCTTTTTCAAATATAGATGAATATAAACTCGTTAAATGTTTTAAAATAAAATCATAATATATCCATTGAATATAACATGTAATACTATCTAACAACTAAATGGCTAAAGAGGATGAAGAAGCAAATAAATAGGTATTGTAATGTGGTCTCAACCATGGTCTCAACTATGAACCCGCTGAACGTTTTAAATAGGCCTATTTCGATAG